TTTTTTTTTATTTTTTTTTTTTTTTTTTTTTTTTTTTTTTTTTTTTTTTTTTTTTTTAATGCTTTCTATCTCTTTCAGCTTATGTCTTAGTTCTCAATGTGGGTTTCAATTGTTTCCAAGTGTACTTTTGAAACCCAACAAGATCATGGGCCGTTCCCGCGAGCGATCAATAAAATTATTCTTTGAAACCTAACATTCTGGTTTTCTTGACACTTCCGTTTTACGAAACTTGGGCAGACGCATTTTATTCTTTTACACGAGTATATCGGAAAGAAGATGTGTTAGGAAAATTATTATCGTTTATCAAGAACGTTAAAAGACTGGAAAATACGACCGCTCGCGAACGACATACTGGCTCAATCGAGACATTCTTTGTACGAACGATTCTTTCGTAGATTCTCGAGAGCGTTCAAATAAAATGGAACGACAAATAAATTAATCTAGACAATACGACATCATTGATATGAAAAACACAATAATATCATTAAGAATTAATTCTTAGGGGAAAAAAAAGTAATAGTATCAAATTGCTCGGGAATTGCTCGAAATAATCGAACATCAAGGGTGCTGAAAATAAAATCCGTCAAATATAAATAGACCCAAAGAATGTCCCAAGATTCGAGCACAGACTCTCACGATCAATGCGCAATATTGTATGCTTTTCTTTTTCTTTTTTTGTTTGGTGTCTCTCTGAAAATGTAATATGAAATAACCCACGAGCAAGGCCAAGCCATTCAGCGCATATCTCCATCGCGTATCAATTAAAATGGTCATGAGGTGGGCCACTCTTTGAAATCAAAGCCTTGCTGGGGTTTAGGGGCGCTGGCGGCATACCCACCTTGGTTGCTTTCTCCTCCTTGATACGAACGCTGAGGATAACTGGTGTCAGCGTAATTACCATATGCAGAATAGCCAGTATAATCCGGAGTTTTAGCTGAACTGCTACTGGACCCAGGTGCACCTGAACCGGTGGTCTGTCGTGAGTACATGTCACCTGGAACATTGATTTCCACCGTGTTATCCAACTTTCCCACTTACCTCGTTTCGTTTATTCATAAGCTGTGCGCGACCACAGATTTCCCCAAGATACATTTTGGATACTTCTCATAGAACAACCATAGGGCACCGATGGATTTCACGAATTTATGAGAGTTTGTTCGTTGAATGTGAAAGTATCTAAAATATATCTTTCTATTCTACTTTCTTTCACAAGTATATTCAAACAGAAGGGACATAAAGCAATTTTTAACATACAGGAATTGTTATTGTACTAAACGGATAAGATCAGTACGTATACAGAGAGAAATCATAAATAATGCAATTGAAAAGCATCGTGGACAGCTACGAATGAATGTAATTTATTCAGACGCGTTGATTTCGTAAAAGTCAAACGAAGAATTGTACTGATCTCATAAATCGTATTACTGTTACCTTGTACACTATCAATTCTATGGAACGTAAATTTTAACAAGGAAAAAACTCAAAGAACGAATTCGACAAAAACTCTATCACATTCTAGAGGAACTGGATGGATTGAAATTAGGGTTTCACTATGTTTTTTTTCCTTTATATTCATTTTTTTACAATGACAATTACAAGTGAGAAGAGACAACAATGAATATAATTAAAAAAATTATTTCCAAATATCTGGCCTAAAAAATAGTTAAACAGTTGAAGTAGCACCACAACTAAAGTAGACCAATTATTAGTCGTGGGAGGTATTAAAAAACAAAACTAACGAAAGTAGAAAGAAAATACTTGTATTGTATTACATAGGACAAAGAATGATCAATTTGAAAATTTAAGAAAAATACAAAAATTAGAAGCGATGTAGTGGATGATTAAGTGCGAGATGACAATGATTACATTACTACAACATGATATTACCAGCAAGTCCTGTTTAAAAATTGTAAGCATAATGTTCTAATTATTCTAAGCGTAATTCTACCTTGAAGTGTATACTAACGAAACATATATCTATATATATATATGTATAAAATGGCGTGATATACAATTTTTTTCGTAATCTTAAAGTCTAGCCATAATTACAACTACGTAATATTTATAATTTACACAAACAATTACATGCTATCGAATGATTCTAGACGCAAAACAGGGGTAAAAAGCGCAGTTAATTAGGCGAGTTAAACGAAATGTGCAATTATCTGGATCGGGGAATCCAGGAACTTGCAGAGGATCTTACAAAGAGGATGAAACTTTTATTCAATAAAAATACTTTTTTCATTTCATTTTACAACACAATCGGGTTCTTCTGTTTCTCGCTCTTCCAATGGATGAAAAAGCTCATCTTTTGATAAGCTCCGATTAATTTCTTAATATATAATAGATTACCAGACAAAGAAATATTACAAGTAAGGGGAGAAACAAAAGAAATACCTTGGACGATCCAAGGAAACACTTAACATACATGATAAATTCTCCCAAAGAAATTCTGTTAATAAGCGAAAAGCGTGATACTACATCACTCGAAGTATCACGATTTACAATTATATATTTCTTCGCCACGTGCACTGTCGATCGTTGATCATTCTCAATGCAAAAAAAAGCCACGTATTCTAACGATAAAGATTTTCGAATAAGGATAATTACTTATAAATTTTATATATATATATATATATTGTCACAGTAAAAGAAATAAAAACAGACAGAATAAGAGACAAACAAATAGAAAAAAAGACAGATACGAACAGATTGTAGATTAACTTTATAGCTAAGCTCAGCTATGTGAAAATGGAACTGTATGCAAAAGGGTGAAAAGAAGAAAGAGTTTGTTTGATAGTGCTGGAAGAAGACTCACCCTGCGGGCCAGAGGGGTTCGAATTCGAGTTGGGCTGCGAGGAGTTAGGCTGAGGAGGTTGAGGTGGTGGCTGAGTTCCAGGAGGGGGACCATTTTGTGGCATATTCCAGGAGTTCCAGGAACCCCCGGGCCCGCCCCCCGCAGCCCCGCCAGTACCCGCTGTGGGCCCATAGCCCCCTGAAGCGGCCGCCGCCGGCCCACCTGCGATCATCAACCACACAAAACACGTGTCACCAAGCACCGTTCTGCTCAAAGCCTTTTCTTATTGGTAGAGACTACGGATTCTTATGAATTTAGACAAAATTTAAAATACATAAAATATCCAGTGTATAATATTTGCCAGGCAATAGTAATTACCTTCGTAGAATTACGAATGTGCATGAATGTTCGCAGTCTACTTGTAAACTGATCACTTTAGTGCCAAACATTCTCTAATGAACAGCGTTACAGTTCTAAACCGAATAACGGTTTTTAAAATGTGTCGAGAATGAGTTACTATATATACAATTATTACCTGGAAAAATGTCGAATATTGTACTGTAACATTCCCGATTGTTCTCGTATGATAAATGCGAATGTATAGCAAACGACGAAAGTAGATAATAATTTTGAATAGGTAATACTCGCCGCTCTTAGCTGTATTGGCACTTAGTGAGCTAAGTGACTCGTTCTTAGCGTTTTTAATATTCAATGTAACTTGGCTGAAATGTTCATGCTTAATTTTCCCGATAGCATTGAATCATTACGGCGATAAGAATGTATTTAAAATGTAAAAACATTGCAAATGTTTTATCTATTACGCTTCACGAATTGTATTATTTATTGAAAAAAAGCAAGCATGAATTTCGTAGATAACGTAATGAGGTTCAATGTGTCGGGAGTGTTCTTTATCGAAAGAATGTATTGATTCAGACTCAACAAAAAGAAATATATTCTAAAATAAAAAATTATTTGTTTTACGATAAGAGAAAATGCAATTTGTAGAAATTCTAAGAAACGTACAGCGATTAACGAGTCTGAAATAACATAATTTCGATATACTTAATATTTATGATGTCCTACTGTATTCTCTTTCTAGAATAACCTCCAGAGGGTATCAAACAAATGATAATTAATTGTATATTGTACTATAAGGTATTTGTTTTCTCATATCTTTATTTTATTTCTTCCTAGTATCTCCAAGCAGGATGGAAGGGGAGAGAATAGGATTAAAGAATTATGATCTTATTTTATGCTATTCCTCCAAAAAATGCGTAAGCAAAATTAATGACTCAAGTGATTTTTGAATTATGAATTAAATTTTAAAGACAGACTGTCGTCGCTGATATCGTTTAAACTGAATTTTAATCAATCGCTGCTTCCAAATTATTAAATTATTTTAAATCATCAAATATTTCATTATTCTGAAATTATCGAAATCTATGTTAAAAAATATGAAATTATAAATCTCAGAAAACTTACCATAACTACCATAACCTTGAGTGGCTGCTGCAGGCTGTACATTATAACTACTGCCCCACTGATGATGTGGTGGCGGTGGAATTTGTTGCTGTTGAGGAGGACCAGGTGGAGCACCCCAGCCCTGAGAATTATACTGAGTTGTATATCCAGCAGCATAACCTCCAGTCTGAGGACTAGTACCCCATCCTTGATATTGCTGCATCATGTTTCCTGGTGGACCCATTGGACCTCCCATCATAGGTCCTCCCATTTGTCCATTTGGACCACCCATAGGTCCCATATTTCCAGCCATTCCCATTGGAGGTCCACCTTGTTGAGGTGGTCCCCATTGTCCTTGATGACTATCATTCATTTTACTAGAAGAATCTCGTGGTTCAGCACGTTTGATTTCAACCTGTAATCAAAAGAGATCAAATGATTCGTATGAAACATTGCTATCATCCATCCTTCGTGACTGAACGTAACTTGAGATATTAAATAGGATTTCAATCTTGATCGAATTATAAATAATCCCATTTAAATCTAAATATTTTCTATTTTACTCTTTCTTTTCTTTTTTTATAAGCATACGATTAAACCTTCGAAACTCGCCAAGTCTTACATCGATTCTAAAGTATATTCTAATTTTTGACTTGCCACATAACGCATTAGTATATACGATATTCTAAACGTTTCATTCTTTTAAATTGATACTTATACAATAAGGACTAAACGTACAATTGTTAGAAATAACACAGTATAAGAAAATTGTGTAAAATAAAATAAGTACTATAATTAACTAACCTGATTACATAAAACTATGCGGTACATAAGAGTAAATTATCCTTAACACACACATTCGTACTTATTATTATTTTACATTACAATAATCTAATAGTATGTAATATATATACTAGTGTGTAGGTATGCTATACCTGTTTTCCATTCAAGTTGACGAAATGCTCTGCAACGCAGCGGTCCACAGCATCTTCATCCTCGAAACTGAGAAAGCCAAATCCTGTCGTCCAAACGTGAGAGTATATCAAAAGGTGCCCCATACATTTGTACAGAAAACACATTTCCTTTATTCAATTCCCATTCGAATTTTTATCATACCATCAATGTTATATTCCATTCTTTTTTTTGTATATTTTATTTATACAAATTGATCGTTACATCAATCATTTTTCATTATATTAATGATAATAATTATTATTATAATTTGGAAAAACATACTTTCATAATATTTTACACATAATTTTCTTTTGATAATATCAATTGAAACATGCATCTTTCGAAAATTTTGTAAATATTTATTTTTACAAAAGTTTGAGTGCTCATAAACTTAAAATACTTAATCTAGTAAATTTATGATGGCTGATTTAAAGAAGCTTTTTAAACTTCTATTTTCTACCACAAAAAATATTCAAACATTTTAAATGAGTGTACTATACAAAGTACTGACTTTCTTCTCTACTATTAGGCTAAAATCTTTGTTTCCAAAGCAAATCCATTCTCACCACAAAAAAGATTTATCTATCAACAGCGTTAAACAAATGCATATAATCTTATTGTACAAAAAAAATGTATTATGTTAGGAAGGTAAAATGCAGAAAAAAAGATTTATTTGCTGTATGCGTTAAATTCATTAACTTCTTGAATGCAGCCACCAAAAATGAATAAATATATAAAGAACAAAGAAGTAATATACCTATATTTGATTACTGAATAGTTACTACATATTTAAATATAAAAATATCAGCAGTAAGATAAAAAATTCTCAAGTAAAAGAAATACTAAAATTAATAATATCCTAATTTATTTGAATATGTAATAGTTCTAGATTGTAGACTATAAGTAATTTTTATACACATATGATATGATTAAAGATAAATATAACTAAATCAGTTTATTATTCAATGGATAATAAAGTGAATAATACTAATAAAAAATTGAATTTACAAAGTATCTTACTAGTAGCTTAACTTGACTTATGTTATATAGATTTTAACTTATGTACTTAATACCCTGGTAAATCTTAAGCTATCCTTAATAAAACTTAGCCAAAATCACATTATATATGTTTAATGTAATTTAATATAACATAAAGTATCTTAACGTTTCTTTAAGGTAAGACAAGGCGAATTATTAAGAGTTGCAAAGTAGGATAAGAACACTACATAAATAACTATGCATAATGTATTGTGAGTTTTATATATAAGTCCTTAAATTATTTTATAAATACATATTGAAAATAAATAATATTAATTAAGAAGACTGTGAATCAGGATGTATTAATCATAATTATTAAAGGAAGCAAGAGCAGGGTCATTAAAAAAAAAAAAGGGTAATCAAGCAGAGGAAGTTCAATGACCACAAATTATGAATTGACTTAAGCACAAAATTATGCAACATTATATTAAGTAATTACTAACTTTAACCTTTACGCTTATCTTCTTTTTTCCTTTTTATATTTTTGTAGATAACTAGAATTTTAATGCTGTACTTCAAATAATGGGTGTGCTGCATTCAAGTCAGAATTTTTGAGTCAATGTTCATAAAATGTGCATATCCATATAAGACATTTTTATGCACATGTTTATTACTTTGTTACTATAATGTCCACGCTAAATTTTATTGAAGATTATTAGTGGGAACAATTTTATTTCAAGAATTCTGACTGTAGTTTTAGACACATAATAAACAAGATGATATGATATTTAAATATTTATAAAACACATTGTTATCCATAGTTCCCATGATAATTAGAAAAACAAATACCATTATGTATGTAAAATACCATTAAATAAAATATGTTGAATATTATTAATGTTAATCATTAAATGGAAACCATTTCAAACAATGCCACTTTAGATATACATAAATAATTATCATGATGTACTCACCTCTTGATTTCTTCTTCTCTTGATCATACATTATAACCACCTCCATAACTTTACCAAAACGTGTAAAGAATGATCTCAAATCAGTCTCTGTCACGTTACTTGGTAAACCACCGAGAAAAACTTTTGGAAAGCCCCCACTGCGTTTTGGCTTTTGTTGAGTTCGTGGATTGCATGGTTTGGGATCAATCTATAACAGAGAAATAAATAGTAAATACACATAAATTTATTATATCATAGTAATCTTTTAATGTCAAAATGATACTAACTGTGCGCCCATCAAGTTGATGCGGACCATTTTGAAGAACTAATGGTACATTAGCTGGATCACTAAATGTTACAAAGCCGAAACCACGACTGCGACCAGACTCACTGTTTTTCATAACAACGCAGTCAATTACTTCGCCATAACGGCCGAAATAACGTTGAAGATTCTCTTGTGTTGTCTCCCAAGACAAACCACCAACAAACAGCTTACTGTAACAAAAGTGGAAAAAAAAATTACTAACATAATTAATACTAGTCAAAATAAATACTTTTAAACTAAATTAAACTGTGATTAATAAAAATATTTCAAATAAAATAACTACTCACATTCATTTCTCATAATAGGTTATATAACAAAAAAAATTTCGAGGTAAATAATATACGAAATATATCCAAGCTACTAACGTGATAAATAATAAAATAACAAATAATGAAACAATTGCACTGCGCAATTGCATTTTACATATAAAAAAAACTGCATATGCATTACAAAAAGATTTGTCAATGTTTTATTCGTTTTATTTAATAATTCGCAACATTACGATATTTTGCGTAGCCACGCGTTTCTTCTTCAATAAAGAAAATTTACGGAAAAATCGGGATATAATAATATAACGATCGGGGTATATCTATCAATAATCGTAATTAGTGAAGCATGCAAGAAAATCATGTAGCGGAGAAAGAGTATTAAAATGATCGGATCTTTCTCAGGATATAGAGCATAAAAATAGAGAATCTAGAGCTAAAGGATGTAACGAGCGACAATGCAGTAACATACTTTCACACCGAAATAATATACAGATAATTTACGATAAATCGCCAGCTATTATACACGAATTCAATAATATCGCCAAATACAGTTGCGTTAAATATTTGAATGTGCCGGGTTATACACGACAAAAATACTATGCAGAACCGGCATCGGCGAATTATTCCCCTCTCATGAAAAACTAGATATTCCAACCGTTCATTACTAGAGCAAAAAAAATGCTGGCTCCGCGTATCATGGAAATTATACATGACTAGCGAGACTTGATGACATTTCACGTATCGCGAATAAACGATTTAACTCGAGTTTAAGAAAATATCGCGTGAAAGCGTGAAATGCGAAGTAACTGCAGTACGCAAATGGAGATCCCACGCAATAAACCCGACAGTCCGACGAACGCGTCGATCGGAAATTCTCGAGTAAAAAATGTCTTTAAACAGTCACTAATACGCAATTCAGACTCACCCCTTCTCATCGTCGTCCATTTCGGTCTTCACTCTCATAATATTTCACTTAAAACTACGAAAATGTTGTTAGTATCGGGACGCGAGCGGGAATATGGCACGATGCAAACCGTAGACGAACGTAATGGTTCCCTACAATCAACGCGATGTCGAGAACAGAATGTAAACGTAACGAAGCGACTCGCGTCACTTCCGTTGAGGAACTAGTCAAATCAGCAACCGTATTCAATGCTGTCTCAGGGATGTGCGCAATAAGATGGCGCGCCCCCTGCAACACGAGACGCACGAATACATTTCATTTCCGTTAAACGATTCGCGTTTACACTGATTATATTACTTTTCGCAAACAAATGACACGCATTTATAAAAATAAACAGACATTCCATTTATTGATACTAGAAATGATTGCGAAAAATTTATAGCAATTGATGTTTCACAGGAACTTATTACAACCCTGAAGAAAATATTACACAATAAATAAATTCAATGTGAAACTAAATAACCAATGAAATGATCGACGATGTTTTTTTATATTATTTCAACGAACAATTAAGAAATATGCCAGAATAAATATACTAGTTGAATACAGTAGTGCTTCTGGGTTCAACGATCTGTCGTCACATAGCACCCGCCATTTCTCTCAAACTGGCGGGAAATTTTAAATCGTCTGCAATTTAACAGCGTATTGAAGATACGCTTGATATACAGGAAAAATTAAAACTTCGCTCCCTAATTGTGAGAACAAGCACACCTGCATGAAAAAGATTGTATCTATATTACCAACTATCGCATATCTATCGCAGGCTCGCGGTTTTTATCAAATAAAATACAAACTAATTTTCTTCTTGCATAAAATGCAATCTTCCAGTCATTGCATAATGTATAAAGAACAATGCACTGTGCAACGCGTTAGTGTTTATACTGGTATTAATTTCACAACAAGCTCAGGTAGAACGATATTAACATTAATGTCCACGTAATTCCATGCGTTAGTGTTAGCACCATGAACATCTAATTAAAAACATTTTCTTTAAATTAGAAATCCAAGATACATGCCAGAAACAAAATACATAAATTATACTTGTGCTATTCTAAGTTACATAAACGAACATTTTGAATGGACAATAAACGAAAATAAATGACTATTTTTAATAAAAGATTACAAACATTTTTTGTACATTCCTTTCCTTTCATTATACGCAGATTATGTGCATTGCAGTAGGTCGAATCTCTTATCTGATAAATTTGTGATAATATAGGACAAGTAGAACTAAACGAATACTTGCCTTTGGATATTTTTAAAAATCTATATCTCTACTTCGAATTTTTGTTTAATTATCTATCGTCATGCTACTACGAAAAGAGAAAAAAGAAAACAAGTATGTACTCACTGGAAAAGAGCAGATTAAACAAATTTCACTGGAGGATAAGAATAACGGATTCCAAATAATCGACATGCGAACAGTGAGGGACTATTCCAATACTGTTTCTTGTTCAAACGTATGCCTAGAATTCGTGTTCACCCCTTGCTTTCCCCCACGCATCGTCAAAGATCACGACCAGAAACCCAAGATGATCTAAGCTAAAGGTTATCACATGTACAGAATTCGAGGGATTGGTTCCTCTTTCTCCACTGCTTTCCGGCGAAGAAAGCATATCCACCAAGCGGCTAAAAATAAAATTATTTAACTCCTCTTGCCACAAATGAACTTTCCTGCTTCGACTGATTCATCCCATCTAGACTTCACCGTAATCGTTTGAATCATCATAGAAGTGAGATTATCCGACCACGATAATTCCATTGACCAACACCTTTTAAGATTATAACTAGAACAAAGTCATAAAAATGATCACTCACTGGTATAATTTTTCGTAGAATTCTTTCAGACTTAAATAATTTTCTTTAAGCGATCTCATATCTCTTGCCGGTGTTCTCGAGTATCGTTTTTAAAACTTTTGGAGCACATCTACGTCCGTGTTTCGCGTCTTAATCCGAACGTTCTGCTCCAGCAAGGACCGAGCATGACGAATTAGAGATAATATGAAATTCACGAAGCGTAAAGGTAGTTCAATTCGTTTCTATTTCGACGGGAAGTTCCTGCTTTACGCTGGACGCAATGCTATAATGTGTCAGCTTCGGCTGTTCTTACTAGCCAGCGTTTGGTAATGTCTATTACTACGTTCTAACATGCGACGATCGCGTAGGCGTTAGCTACATAATTTATTTTACGCATCTTGTTGCACAATACGCTAACCAGATACATACATATATGTTCGCGTAGTTACACATGTCGCTCCGCTCTTGGCGATTGTCAAGAGTAAACAAATATTCCGCTTGCCGACAATCGAACGTGTGTGAACACAGAATGTACAGAAATATATTTACGTGCCGACGAATGTAATCGGTTGTAATTTATAGTTATCTTAACAACAATATCAAGTTTATTTTTGATTATTTTGACAAAGTTACTCACATTTTTCGATATAATGAATATTACACGCTTTCAATTAGACAATTTCTACGGGGAAAAAAAAAAAAGAAGAAAAAGAAAATTTTTTGTTCATTCTTTCCTAAAGAAGGAGTCATGTCTCGAGGTGTATAACGTTCCACAGATAAGAGTACTTTTAGAGGGTCAGGAGTTCTAAATTTAGATCTTGTATATGTTCGACCGTACCGTTTGTTCCAAAATTTAGGTAATCAAGCTTATATCGATAACTTGCCATCCATTAAAAATAGAAATTACTTCGGCGAGATTGAGCGACTCAATCTCTAGACAATGTATAGAAATAGAACGATTTTACAGTTCACTTCTTGTCACGGTCCCCGCCTCTGTTTGTACACCTATCTCAATGTGAATACCCGCGTTGAATAATATCTCGCAAGATTCTAGATTCCATTTAAAAAAAAAAAAAAGAAGGGAGAGAGAATTTAAGAGAGGAAGCATGCTTAAAAAATACCTACCACGGAGAATTCTTACGTAATTTCTCATATCCCCCTCCTTCTAGAGTCGCTCACGTGTATTAAAAAAGGAAAGAAAAAAAAAATTCTGAAGAATCCAGCCAACCCATCGCGGGGATCATGACTATCATAGGTAAAGGAGAAAGAGAGGCGAGAGAGAAAATCCTCCGAATCGGAGGCTGTCGGAGGTAGCCGAGGTCAGGAGCAGCGAGTGAAGCCTGCGTATCGACTCATTTCCTTCGTATCTGAACGAAAAGTTTCTGCCCGGTCGGTTGAAAAGCTTTAGTATAGCCCGGCGAGCTGATCAGGCTGGATCAGGCTTGACTGCTTGTTGGCCGACTACTGCTTGGCCGACTGGCTCTGACTGCTAGCCGGCTCGTCTCGTTCAGTCGCCTCTCCGACATCCTGCCTATAACACGACCACGGCCGGTGCCAGTACAGTGGATTCGGTACGTGTGTTGCTCCACGTTTGTCTCGCCGTCTCTTCGTTTACAGTTTCTGTCATGCCAGTGGCGGATGCAACGGGGCCGTGACACGACTTTTTTTCGGCGCCAGTTAGACCCACGTGCACACGCTCAAGGCGAAACAAGCAGGGCCGGACTAGATTAGAAGAGCACGAAGAAGACGAGTAAGTTGCCTCGAAAAGCGAGATATGTACATACTTGCACGCGCTCGTGCAAGCGAAGTTAGGCTCGACTGAGAAGATTTGCCTGTTGCTTTTCGCCTAATAGGGAAGCGCGAACGCCACGTTAGATAGTAAATTGGACGGCGAAACGTTCAGAATGATGTCCAAGTGCGAAACGATCCGAGTGTTTCGGTGGAACAGTGAAACTGTGAGGAAGTCTCGTGGGTGGAAATTTAATGAAAGGTGAAATTGTAATTCGAAATTTCATTTGTGCTGGCTGGTTTGCTTAAGTGCTTCCTCGTTCAGTAAGTTAAGGTACCGAGAGAACAAAGAATATTTGTTTGGAAGATGAAGTTTAATGAGATTGTTCAACCGTGAACTAGGACCGTTCTTCTCGTTATTATCGTGCTCTCGAACTCGAAAAGCCGACGACATCCACCGGTTGATTGAACAGCCTCTCCGTTTTCAATCACCGGCCACGATCACGACGAATCTAGTCGTTTAAACGTGTCTCTGCTCCGATGATTCTGCGGCTCGACCGCGGCTCGATGTCTGTGGGAACAATTAGCAAAGCCCTGGCTCCACGTAACAGCTTTTAATGGCTAGGTCCGTTGGTCGGTTCGATCTTTCGAAAATAACGATCGTTCAGAAACTAACGAGCTTCGACAGTCGCGAGATTCTCTCACCACAACGTGTTTCCATCCAGTCGATCACTTTGTTCCGGCTCATCTCCAAATGCACGCAAATCCCTTGCGCAGAAATAACTACAATTAATACGAGAGCTTCTTAATTCTCTAACCTCTTCGTACAGGACAGAATTTTTCAGTAATTTCTTCAAACAGAATTTTCCACTCAGTGTCCTTTGAAAATAATCGCAATACGACTCGTATCGACTTCAAATTGAATTTCCTTCGAGACGGCGATGAAAGACACGACAGCGCATTGACATTCTCAATTATAGTCAGCGATGACTTTCGACATTTCTGTTTCAAGCGACTCATCCTCGCCAGCCTCGTCCTTACCTTCCCCGTACGCAAGAACTAGAGAAGTTGCATTATACCGTAGGAGCTAGGAGGAGATCTGTAGCTGATTTTCGGGGCTTGGAACCGGTTCTCCCGCCTTTCTTTCGTCCTCGTTCGTGCACGTCACTTCCAGTCTTTCGTCCTTTAACGGGACGAGCACCGGGATTTTGTGGATTCGCCGTTTCGGCTGTGTAATCACGATTGTCAACACCATCGCGACCGTCGACGTCGCTCGCGTTTCGATTCTCTGAAACGGTTAACGGTATCGGAGCCGTATTCTATCGGATAAATTCTCCGTTTCGTCGTTTGTCCGTGAAATTGCAACGTCCGAGGTAGAAGAAGAGCGGCAAAACGCTAGGTAATGCCAACTTTTTACTCCCCGACACTTGAAAATTATCTTCGAACTGTTATTACTCTGCGAGCTATCTCATCTTCGTGCCGATAAGATTAAGACCGCCGACGGACGAACATTGAATTTACGTGTCACCTTCCATTGGAGGATTTTTACACGGTCCCGAGGTAATTTGCATTAGCAGTGGATTTTAACGGGAACCCATTTCTC